CTGAAAGAAATCACATGTATTATGTAGTTTAAAAAAAAAACACACACTATGACTTATTATAAAGAAAAATTAGCCAGGATCAGACCTGGAATTTTAAGTCATATGCCTGAAAAGAGACACCAAACAAGAAATTTCAGAGAGAAGTCCATCCTCCCATTAAAATGAAATCAACTGCACTCAGAGATGTTCCCGTGTTAACTAACTGGACTACTATCAGATCAGAATAATGTTGAATAAGTGCAGATGCTAAAACCAAATTGGCTTCGTTACTCCAAGAATCTCAAATGGCCCTTCATTCTTGGAAAGCATGTCAATGACAAAGACAGCAAGAAAACAAAACTAAACTAAAAAGAATCATAAAGTGAGTATTAATTCAGAAGTCTCTGAAGGTACACATTAGCACATCCACTGTCCTCTGCCTAAACTCCTGTAATATCCACCGCCTCTATCAGGTACTTACTGTCAGAGTAGGTCTATACAGCCTTGTATTGTCAGCTAGATGCTCCTGTACATACACACAGCTAGTGTATCCAAGTAGTCTACAGACTCCTGGAGAACAAAGACTTTGCCCCACTTAATCGTACTTTATTAGTAGTATTTCTTACAGAGAGGAGCCATAAATAAATATCTTCATAACTCTCTCTTCTTTAGTTAGAGACACAGCAAACCCTATTGGGAACAAAGCTCTTGAGCAGTCTACCTTAAGTGCCAATCTGCCAACTGAAAATAGCTTCCATTATGTATCAGATAGAGCAGAAACAGGAAAACTGCTACTTGGAATGGATCACACTAATCAAAAAACGGGGTGGGGGGTTGATCTTAGTAATCACGAACCACAGAAAGAAAAAGACAAGGACAGCAAGGGTGAGGAGACAAATTAGTAGATTTACAGATGTGAGACTTAGGAGCTCCTGGGTAAATTTCCTGGGGGGTAACCACACCTGTCCTAATTTTGAAGCTTTACCACTAAGAGGCAGTAAATGGGTCTGCTGCCTAAAATGACCTCTGAAGAATGGACGCAGCCTTAATCGTGAGGGCTTTCTCATCTCACTTCCACCGCCCCAGAGCTGGCACTATGGCGAAGCAGCACTGGGGAAACGTGCGCACTCACAGCGACCAGCCATGTTGTCACATCATTACAGAGAAGGCCACGTGCTTTTCTGCGGTCGCCTGTTGGCCTGATTTCCTGCTTACAGCATTTGACAAATCTTAGTTCCTCAAAAAAAAAAAAAAAACAACCTTAACTTTTCTTAAATTCGTTTTTTTAAGCGTGAAAAAATAGTAATACATAAACATTGTCCTTTCATAGACCTCTGCAATATTCTGAATCTAGGGTTAAAAACATCAGCCTTATCTATCTCTTCTTCGCTGTCTCTAAAGAAATGTTTTCTTGATAGGAAGTAAAAGAGATCATTATCAGGGGAAAAGAAAAAGCCGTCACCATCTTACGCCTCTTTTTCCTAGTTTCTAAAAGGGCTTATGAAATAAAGAAACACTATGCAGAGATAAAGAAACTGAAGATTTAGATACTAGAGCACACACGTGTTTTCTTTTGTTCTGAAGAGAACATAGAAAGTGATTCCATTAAACTCCTCTTAAAAACCCTAAATACCCACACCAAATTCAAAACCACATTCTCTTTTTACCTGTCACATTGCTGCATTATAGAGATCTCCTTAATTATCTCCTGCAGGTCTGATTCCACAGGAACTTGCTTAATAGCCACAATCTGACCGGTCTCCTTATGAATAGCTTTGTATACGCTGCCATAGGACCTACAATCAGGACGGAAATATTTGTAAAGTTAAAGCAAGTCAAGAGACAAGAAGTGATAAAACACAAGCAACTCAATCTTAATATATATCCCAAGTCCTCATTCCCGTAGGAACTACATTTGTAAAACTAGAGTTGTACTCTGGGAGAACAACTGCTAAGAGAAATACCGCAAAATGACTTCTTAAAAATTGTACATTGAAGCTTTAAGGAATGAGTTATTAGGATAACTATCATCATCATCATCATAACAACCTACTAGAAACTGCACCATCTTGGTACATCCTTACAAAAGTAAACAGACCAAAAAATTTTTTTCCTATTTAACAGGTAAATGTAAAAAAGTGCCAAGAGGCTCCCTGATTTCCCAGTCACACAAATAAGTGGTCAGTCCCCGATTTAAACGCAAGTGTGTATCGCCCTATCTAAACTGGGGTATGATAAGGAAGCTCAAACTCCAGATAAGGACAGGGTGTGTCTTCCTCATCATGGTCCATAGCTAACTACGTAGCTTAAGATTAAAAAAAAAAAAAAAATTGCTCATTAGTCTTCTATTTCTGAAATGGAGAGGTGTCTACACATGTACTAATCAGCCATCTTGACCATAAAACTCTCCATGCCTCTCTAGGCCACCTTGATAGCAAAGAAAACAAAACTGAGAGCTGATCGGAATAATTAAAGATTCAGGATTTCACATACTGCACTGAGTAATCTGGAGTCAGAAGGCTTTAGCAATCATGCTCCCTTATAGACAATTCCCTTAGTACCCAATTCGCTACAACAAAAACTAAGTACTGGCAGGGAACAAATATGGCGGGGAAGCAGGTGGCTCACCCAAGCCATACAAGGCAATGGTTCAGTGTGCTGGCCACACGTTAAATAATACAAAGAACTCATGGAAAAACTCCATTATCGTTTTTTTTTAATGTTTTATTGTGAATTATATGGTAGTTTACATGAGAGAACTTTAGTTTTACATTCATTCCATCGTATATCGTTTCATTGTCATGGTTCCAATCCCTTCCATGCATCATCAACCGACCAAAGGGTATACCCTAAAAACCCGCCCCCTACACACCCCCCCCCCCCCCCCCCCGAGTCTTCAGCACACAGTCCCTCTCCCTCTCTGGATCCAAAGTCCCCAGCCACTTCATCACTCCACGTCATCGTCTCTGCCTCTATCTCAAGTTCGCTGCTTCTCTGGGTAGGGTCCTGCTCTCTGCTCTTCTCCGGTGATGGTCCCAGAGACCTCCGCTCCAAGACTGGAGAATTCATTACTCCCTTCCTTGCTACAAAACGTCTACCTTTACATTTCCAACTCTCACAATCAGTCCTGATAACAATTATTCACTGTAGTATCACAGGTGACCCATCTGCATTTCATCAGCTCCGCCTAGACAGATTGGATAATACTCACTGGAGATTCTGCCTTCCTCCATGCCCCCTAGTTCTAGGTTCCCTCTTGAAAGCTTGTAAGCCAGTCACTTCTTGCCTTTGTAGTACCCCCCCACCCATTTGGGTATCCAATGTCCAAGTTGCTCATCTCTGTCTACTTGTGTGTGGAGGGGGTGGGAATGTTTCTTGCTGTAAGGATTTGTTCCCTCTTTTGAGTCACTGCATCCGTAGGTGTAGGCCAAGTTCATCAAATTGCATCAGATCACTCTTTTTTTCCTCTTCTTTCTTCTCCTGGTTGAGCTCTGATCATCCAGTCATCTGGGCCAGGTCACGTGGATACCATCTGCAAGTGTGGGCTTTCTTGTGCACATGCCCTCTCTTCCCATCAGCCGGTAGCTTCACTCTCCATTCGAGTCCTCCGTGACCATGCCACTGACTCTGGGCCCAAGAGTCCCCAGGTCTCTTCACACTGCTGGCCAACCAGGTCCCCATCTGGGTCCACAGAAGCCCACCGAACATTGTAGGGCTTAGCTTGCCACTTCATTGCTGCTTTTACTCCACTTCCCCCCATCAGTGATGCATGTGGTCACCAATCAGAGCATGTATTTCCGTTGAGTCATAGTCTTGGAAGGGGGTTTGCATTGAGAGGACCCGACCACTTGCCTTGATGTTTCCTGGGGAAGCGATTTGTTTGTTCTTGTAGTAACAGTCCATCTGCCTCTATTGTTTTGTATTTTTCCTGTAGGTCTTTCTTTCAAGAAGTATATTCTGTTCTTCTATCCATTATCATTTAATTCCACTTTTCCACAAACTTTTTGAAGTCCCCTTGTATAGGTGGAAATATTATAGTACCTGAGGCCAAATTAACCAGGTCCAATCTTAGCAATACTGTTCACTAGCAAATAACCTAGACAGCCTGAACCTAAATCTCCACTTCTGTAAAACAGGATTAATGACAATAGCTGGCTCATAAGATGGGTGCAATGGTTAAATGAAATAATAAAGACTTTGTAAATTATAAAGTGCTATGCCTGCCAGCTGCTCAAGAGAAAGATGAGGCTTTCTGCTCCTGCGGAGATTTAAAGCCTTGGAAACCCTATACAGGGTCACTATGAATTGGAACCAGCTCAACAACACTTTATATATATATATTGAATGTCCTGGTGACACACTACAGGATAACCACAAGGCAGTTCAAACCCACCAATCGCTCCTTGGAAACTCTACACAGCATCGCTTACTAGTCACTAGTCACAAATGACTCAACAACACTTAACAACAACAGACATATGCTGGACTTCTGGTGTCCTGTAAAATAAGCACTAGACTGCTAACCAAAAGGTTGTTGGTTCACACGCACTAGCCACTCCTTGAAGTCTCTATGAGTTGGAACCTATTCAACAGCACTTAACAACAACACACATATGTTAAGGAGCTCTGGTAGCGTAGTGGCTTACTGAGTTGGACAGCTCACCACAAGGTGAACAGTTTCAATCACCATGGGAGAAAGATGAAGCTTTCTGCTCCCATAAAGATTTACAGCCCTGAATCCCTTTACAGGGTCACTGAGTCAGAACTGACTCCATGGAACATAACCCCCCCCCATACTATGTTTGTGTTATCATTTTATGATTAAAAACTATAAAACTTGAAGCACAGAATGAAAAGGTACCAGGCTCAGCAAAAAAAGAGTTTCCAAGTGATCCCCGCTTATCCTGATCTCAAGCAGACTCTGCCATTAGAGCCACTGATCTGTTCAAAACACAGAAGGACTGCAGTCTCCAAAATCAAATACAGTCCTTTAGTCAGAGCTCACTTCAGGAAACACAAGTCAGTGAGACTTCACCCACCAGTCATCTTCCAGATCAATGTAAGGGTAGTGTGGTCATTTGTGTTTGAAAGGAATTGCAGTTGAAGTCTTTCAAGATTTTGCTAGTTAAATGAAGCTTGCTCAGGTTTATTATTCAGAATGATGGAGATCTAGGAACTTGTGGCATCTGAACAATTACAAAAATATAGTTGTAAACTCTAATTCTTTAGTAAAAGGGCTAAATGGTGATAGAATGGCAGAAAAGATCAGAAACTTTCTTTTCTCCCTGATGATATCTTGATGGGGAAGCTCTGTTTTCTCCCTGGTGACTGATAGGGAAATCTCCAAGTTCATTGTTGAAAACATTCTTGGATCTAAAACACAATTTAAAAATTTTTTTAACTATAATTTAGGTTGTTTTTCCATACATTATAATCCTAATATATTCTCTGACACTTCCAAGCCAAATTTTCTCAAATAGAGTTTACTATCTAAACATATTTTAAGATTTATCTTTGATTTGACACAATAAGGTCAGAAAAAAGCTTTAACAGACACTTAAAAATAATAGCAACTTCCACTTACTGAGCACTTGTTATGTGTCAAACATGGTACCAAGTACTTTAGCTCCCTATTTCATGTAATATTTACATCACTCTATGAAGCAGATACTTTTATTATCCCCATTTTATAGACATGGAAAGTGCAGCTTCAAAATATTAAGCAATTTACTAAAGTTCACATGATTAGTAAACAGAGGAGCAAGAAATAGAACCTATCTAACATCGGAGTCTATGCCCTTATTACTATAGTATAAACTCTTTTATAAAAACGGAAATAAAAAGCCCAATTAATTACATATTCAGCTATGCCTTTTTGTCTCTATCTCACTCCAAGTTGAATCTCCGAGCATTGGTAGATTAAGAAACTTGGACAAACTGCACTGAAGCAAGTACCAAGTACATTCAAGCTAAAGCTAAAAACATCAAACAAGATGCCGCGGCACTGCTGTGCTTCCCGTACCTGAAACGAGGCTTGTCAACTTGCAGTCTCCAGATTTGCCTTGGACTGGTCTGGTCTTTCAGCAACGTAACTGATGTCATCCCTGAGTTCTCGTCTCTGATTGAGTCCGTGCTTGTTTCCAAACAGTAGTTTCCCAACTTACAAAAAGACGATGACTAATGTTTTTTACAAAGAGGTAATCCATCAATAATGAGTCCATGCCCTCTAAGACAGGGCTTAACATTACTGCATATCTTCAGTTGTTGTTGTTGTTAAGTGCCGTCGAGTCGGTTCCGACCCATAGCGACCCTGTACAGGGTTTCCGAGGGTGTAAATCTTTACGGGAGTAGA